ATATCATTATCCCCATCTTAATCACTACGCCAATTCTTCACAGTTGGCACAGTGATGCTAATCGTAATCGACAAATTTTCAAAAGTACATTAGGAAACATCCCGACTTTACCCATTCTTTAAACATGGGTACAATGGTCTTTTACGGCCAGAGCTCCACCTACATAAAGTCTTAAACCTTCTCCAATTCATCACCATTCACTTCCTAAAAGATTAACACAATGAGAACTCTGCTTTTCTTTCTCTTCATCACCACCCTCTTCTTCTATACCTACTCCCTCCCAATTGCAATACCCCAGGACCTTACCACCGCATCCGACAACATAGATTTCATCCGCACAAGCTGCAACGCTACCCTATACCCCGACCTCTGCTACACCTCCCTTGCCGGCTATGCCAACGCCATCCAGCAAGACCCCGGCCGCCTTGCTCGTGCAGCCATAAGCGTTAGCCTCAAGAAAGCCCACCACATGGCAGAATACGTGTCAAACCTGACGCGGGATGCCGACTATGGCTCAGACCCGCGTGCTGCCTCCGCTCTCCACGACTGCTTCTCCAACTTCGGTGACGCCGTGGACGAGATCCGTGGTTCCCTGAAGCAGATGCGGCAGGCGGTGTCTCCCGGTTCAGAATCATTCAGGTTCCAGATGAGCAATGTCCAGACGTGGATGAGCGCCGCCTTAACGGACGAGGAGACTTGCACGGACGGGTTTGAGGATGTTGCTGATAGCCAGATGAAGAGCGACGTCTGTGATCGGTCGGAGGAGGTAAAAAAGGCGACGAGTAATGCATTGGCGTTGGTGAACAGTTATGCAGAGAAGGGAGTACAGTGATATATATATAGATGCCTTTAATTAAAAAGCTTTAACGAGTGAATCACAATTTCGGTTTCAGTGTGGACTGTGGAAGAAGATTGTAAATCCCTTTTAGTTGATAACTGTGACCGAGTTTACTGAGTGAACTCTGAGTTAATCGAACCTTTTTTTTTTTTTTTTTTTTTTTTTTTTTTTTTTTTTTTTTTGGCACTACAAACAAATTAGTAATTGGGAAACCTTATTTAATTCGGAGTATTTATTTTGCATTCCTCTTTTAAAATAAATATTAAAGATATATTTATTCCATGTTTTTGTTATTAATTTATTGAAAAAATTAAAAAAATAAATTGTTCAACATGAGTGTCATGTTTTATAATTTAATTTCATGTTGTATAATTTAATTTAATAATTGATAAAATTAAAATCAATTTTTATTTTTTTCTATAACTTAATAATAAAAAGTAAATGCATCCTTATTTTATACCTTTAAAAAATAAGTTAAAAAATTTCTTAAAAGAATAGGTGACAAAAAAATAAAAGATAAATAAATTCAATAATAGTTTTTCTAATCTAGATGTAATTAATACAACTTTTAACAATTAGTTTATATAAAAAAATTAATCCATTCCATTTTGTAGTTCTCAATTTCTCTTCGTTCAAACTTCCCTTTTTTTTGGTTAAATTCTATTTTTACAAGTAGCTCTTTAAAATTTTTTGATTGAGATAATTTTCATGAATGAAAAATACTACTTAGTTGGGGAATCATCCTCCAATACTAAAGGTTTTCAATTCTTGTTTGCTTGACAATGTGACAATTGAGATTTAATTAATTCAATTGATTTTTATTGCAGATAATTAAATTTTAATGTATGAAAAAATTATAATAATTAAATCTTAATAAAATATTTTAAAAGCACTTGGATTTAGTTGCTCGATGACTTTAAGACTTTTTGAAAATGCATTCCCTAATCCTTAAGTTGGGATCGAACCCTCACCCCCTTCATTTGTATCCCATTCAAAAAAAAAAAAAATATTTTAAAAAAATTAAAAAATATTAATGATTTAATGACATGAGAGGTCATGTCAAACTTCAATGGTCACAGAGCGTAGAAGTAAGCTCTGGAATCCATTTCAACCAGATAATCGTTAGATTTTAACGAAACATTGACATAACTATTAAACAAGGGCTGATTTGCCATTATCACTGATTTTAAGGGGTCATTTGCTACTGATTTCAGTTGAGGGGTTTTTTTGCCACTCCTTGACAAGTTCAAGGGCTAATTTGCTAGATTCGCCTCATTCATATATACATATATACAAATATATACAAATATAAGTTGGAGTACCAATATCAAATCCACACAAACCAATATCAAATCATCCACAAACATATAGAAAAAGGCTCATTTTATTTCATTAACCTTGCGTCTCACTAATTAATTAATTGAGAACAATCGATTTTAGAATCAAGCGGTTTAAATGGGAAAGAACCATCCCAAGCATAAGTGAAACTGAAGCTAGACAATGGAGCTATGGGATTCCCATTCTTAACTAGACATTCTGCTCCAGACTTTTTCAGGATAGATGGATCCACCGGCTTCACAGATTGAAATCCATCACAACTCAACTTCACATTAGACTGAACACAAGGGCAAGGATTGTTGATCGTCACTTTCCATTCTGGCTTATTTTCAACCTTAACTCCTGTTTCAGATTGACTCACACCGAATTCCTTAGGATAGCACTGACAACGTCCTACGTACAATTAAAATGAAAGATATATATTAAATGGAGGAAATAATTAAACTAAGAAGAATTAATTAAAGGGAAAAGGGGAGAGAAGAAGATATATAAATTACAATGGTTTGAATCATGATTGTATTCATATATTCATGTAAATAGGCCACTTACCTTGAGAAATGATGGAGAGAAAGAAAACTAGAATCATAAAGTTGTGAATGGTTGCCATTGACATTTAAGATTAATTTCTGCAGGAAGAAATGAAGTAAACAGAATAGCCAGCGATTTTCAATTTAGTTCAAAAAACAGAACTAGCCAGGGCACTGCAGAGAGTCAAAACACCCTAACTTATTTATGCTATGGGTTGTTACCCAGATATGGAATCCTTTATTACATTTAATGAAATCAATTATTGCATTTTTCAGAAAAGGAAAGTAATTTAAAATTCAGTTAAAATAAAATACTTTCAGTCAGTAAAGTAATTTATGATAAATTGTATAAATTATTAAAATAAGTTAATAATTATAGTTTCTATTTCAAATAAAAAATGTTAAAAAAGATAATTATAGTTTCTATTACAAATAAAAATTGTTAAAAAAGAAAATTGAAGTAACATATAATAAAAGCTATAGTTTCTCAAACAATGAAAAATAACTTACCATCTTCATAAAATTAGTTTCATCTCAAAATTAATTTTAAAAGGTAAAAATTCACAAAAAATATAATTGAAAATCAATTTGAGCAAATAGAATGAAACTACTATTAAAAAGTTAACAAACTAAACTAGATTAAAATAAAAGAAAAAGATAAGAGTAAAAGATAGTAAATGAATCGAAAAATATCTAAAGATAATTGACAAAATAGAAAAAAAATACGAAAATTATTAGATTATTTATTAAATTAAGCTTAACGTCAACCCTAAAAGTGTAATAATTACGTATTTTAAATATTAATTAGTGTTAAAAATATAAGAATTGTTATTAATTTTATCATTATATTATGTCAATTATCTTAATTGAATAGTTGTTTAAATAAAAATTAATTTTTATTTTTCTAATATTCATTAATATAGAAAATCTACAATAATTATATTCTTAAAGGCATAGTTTTAGAAAAATTATTATTATATATATATATAAGTTGAAAATGGATCTATTTACCTACAAATCTCATAAATTATATTTATACAAAATTTTAATTATTAAAAATAAAAAAATAAATAATTAAAATTTTATATAAATATAACATGTAAAATTTATTTGTAAATAAATTCTTACTCATGTTCTTAAGCTGTTTTGAGTCAACTTTGATTCACTTAAAAATTAATATTCAGTCAAACAATTTTAAAAACATGCCTTACCTCAATTTACTATATTTTAAAAAAATTAATTTCCTTAAACACCACCTTACTTGAATTCTAAATTTTACTTACAAGACCACTTATCAATTCATCACACTCTCGAAGTTATTCTTCTCATATAAAAAAATAGTAGTTTTCTCCGTAACATTGATTATACATAAAAAGTATATTTTTAAACTATGAAATTTTCTAATCTAGTTTTTAGAACACATGTTAATGGTATAATTATTATATATTTTTTATTATTAATTTATATACAAAGATAAAAATTAACTTAAGTTTTATCAACCATTTAGTTAAATCATTTCATATAATATTTGTGTTAAAAATAAAGTTTACTTTAACATTTTTTCATAAAAATTAATAGTAAAAATGTGTAATAAATGCAACATTGGGCATAGGTTAAAAAAATTGAATTATTATCCTATGTTTGGTTTTAGGGAAATAGAGGTGAGGGGAATATTTTTTTACTAATTAGATTGTAATATCTAAAAACATTATATTCTAATCAGTGAAAGAATCCTTTCCTTCCCTCTATTTCAAACAAATCAAACATACCATTAAACTATCAAAATACTTACAAATAAATTATTAAGAATATTTTAATAATTTTAATAGTTAAATTGCAGTTTTATTATATTACTATTAAAATTATTTAAATATCTTTAATTACATTATTATTCCTATTATTTATTTATAAAGACATCCTATTTTTAACAATCTTCTAAAAAAGAGTAAATCTATTTACATGCAAAATTCAAACTCATGAAAAAATGATAATGAACCTTTCTCAATTTTATTTTATTTTTTATAATTATAGAAAAAGATAGTCATCCTTGTTGGGAATTTTGAGCACCACAAATCCACGCAAACGAAGCAATAAAGAAATTAAAACAATAATTTAATGTAATTTAACTTGTATACATTTTAATAAGTTTACATCCATAAGAAAGAGAGAAATTAATCCACTATTAAGAAAAAAGTATAATAATATAGAAGTTCTTTCACTCAAGAAACTCTCAAATTCTTCCTAATGCTCTCTCTTAATCTTCACAAGGATTATCTAGCAATTTCTCTCTTTCTTTTCTCTCACAAGAGCCCTCTGTCACGAGGTGAGACTAGCTCCGATGGCACTTATCTTGGAGGCGGAATCTAGCTCGACCTCGTGCGGCACTTAGCTTGGAATTAACCCTGTCAACCCGAACCAAGTCAGCCTTTCCCCAACACTGGTGTGGCCCCTTAACTGGGCTTGAGGTTAGCAACACACAAATGAAGGTAGGAAGTTGGGAAAAGAAGAGAATTTATTATGATCGCAAGGGAGTGTACAAGAGCATGAGTACAAAGCCCCTCTCTGCACTCACTCACCTAGCAGCTCACTCTCTCAAGCCTCCTCCTTCTCTTCTACTTAGGCCACCTCTATTTATAGAAGAGTTCAGCCCAAGAGCCCTCTACAGGTGTCTCTAGAACACTCCACATAATTCCCTCATATGTACAATTCCAGAACATTTTCCATTCTCCCTCCTAAGCCTACTTTATTCTAGAATCCCCTATTCTAGAATTATCTACAAGGCCCTAGGAGAAACCCCAAGTTGGGCTCGGCCCATTAAGCCCATCTAGACCCCTTGTCTGGAACCATCACTACGCACCCAACAGCTTCTAGAATTTTCTGGGCTACTCCTGCGCGCTCCAGCGTGTCTCGACCGCGACCCCGTGCCACGGCCTTGGCATGGACGCTGCCAACTCGTGCAAGGCTCGCCTCTTGAGCGTTCCATGTCGCGCTCGCGCCCGCTCCCGTGTTGGCGCTCGCACGTGCTAGTGCCTCAACCCAGCTTGCTAGTGCGTGCATCTGTGTCTCGGGCCAGGACATTCTTGTGCGCACCCGCTCGTCGCCCCCGACTGCTTACGCACGCTCCCACGCGTCCTGTCCGCAACTTCACGCCACGGCCCCGGAATCGACGCCTCTGCTGGCAAGGCCCGCTGCGTCTCGAGCGATCCACCTTGTGCCTACGTCCTCGTATATGTAAGTGTCGTAGTCGCAACCCCGTGTCGCGACACCGACACCGGTGTCCCACATGCCCGTGTCCACGCTTCCACTTGCGCTCCCACTGGCACCCATGCTTGTGCTCGCGCATGTTCTCGTATCTGCGCTCGCACTCCGTGACGTTGCTTGGCATGTTCCCTGGACGCGGCACACACCCTCTGTGTGCCTGTGGCTGCAGCTCCGTGCCACGATGCCTTCGACTTCGGCCCCCGAACTTGCGTGCCGTGACACCTCTCTCACTTAACTCTTCTCAATTTCTCTTGCTTGCACTCACTCTTGCTTGCCCATTGCCTTTGCATGCATGGGCATTTATAGTAAAAAATCCCAACCATCTAAGCAAGTTTTTCTTTGCCTCATTACTATCCGTCCATGATTTTCTTTGCTCATTAAATGGGTCAACATACAATTTTGCATGATTTCAACAAAGTAAATGCTAACCCACAACTAGCTAAGTTAGGGAAGAAATTTTACCACATGGAAAATCCAAGTGTTCACATGGGATTAGACTTTCTACTAACAATTCTTTAATTAAATGTCAATTTTAATCCCTCAATTTTAAGGTTTTATATAATTTTTATCTGTCAACTATTTTAAGTACTTTTTTAGTCCT